CTTTCTTATTCTCATTTAAAATGTCTAGCTGTTATTAAATAATTATCTGAAACTTACAACCAATGTTTTTATCTGACATAAAATGTATAGAAATCATACATATACCAACAAGATTGTACATCACTGTCACAACAGCATTTGTTTTCATTCAAAGGCTTTATGGCTTTAATACCTGGTGGGCCAGTCTCTAGTCAAAATGCCTGGGGCGATTTTTTGTCTCAGTCCAGCCCTGGGCACGACACGCAGTGAACTAATCTGAGATGGTGCATTAAAAAATAAATGGCTGCGCCAGCGGTGCACATCGCAAATCAGCTCGCATAGACACATTAGTTGTGCTGCTTCTTAATGACGGTATCTTAGCTAACAAACCCAACTACCAGATTCAACTTGTAATTGGCTAAAAATAACTTGGCCTACTGGTGAGAGGGACGTTGTTAACTTTCCACATTCCGACACTTCAAAAGCTTCAGGAGCTTTCTGCTCAGCACAGCAGCAGCACCACGGAAACACACGGATACATCCATAGACTCGAGACACAATGCATTTTTGGGACTTTCAGGTGTATGGACCAATGTTCTATTTTCTGATCAAAGCAGAAATCTTTAATGAGCAGCTAGATTTGTCTCGCATTAACTGGCTGAGTTAATGCCAGTTAATGCAACATCAAAGCAGCTGGAATCCACAGCTTTGTGTGTTCATGGAGCTGCATTTTCACCTGCTGGACATCACTGCCTGACAAGTTTAACTGTCTTCAGAACATTGCAGAGGCCTTATTGACAGTATTTGGCTCTACATGTCTGTGTGAGCAGATTTTCTCTCACATGAGTCCTCAGGTAGCCGGCTGAATGCTGGACATTTGGAGACCTGTGTCTCTGAGTGGGAGACCAGAGATCACATTAACATGTGTGTCTCTGTATTAACAAACATGCCATATTGACTTAGTTTATTTTTCTTATCATTGTTGTGAGGAGACCATAAATAGGATTTGTATTGTCTGTTGTGCAGTTCATTTGCTTTTATGGAGTTGTTATTATGGATTTGTTTCAAAATAGCTGATATTATTCGCTGATAGCTGTCAACATC